GTGAGTCCAATGAAAACTTGTTTGTTTCTTTTACAAATTGAAGTAATAATAATGATAAAAATCCCCCTCATTTTGCCCTGCTTTACCTGTTTCAGGGCAGAAGCCTGCTGGTGCTGTCTTTATAAAATTAATGTATCTGTGCTTTATAGGGACTGGAACAGTAACAAAAGGAGTGTAAAAAGAATATTACTTCTGTGACTCATAGGGGTTGTGGCAGCTTCAGACTTTATCTAGACATGTGTTGCTGATGGCCATCAGGATTGAAAGGAACTTTTTTGGTGACTTAATTATGCATCATTAATTCAGACTGCAATTAGCTGTGCTCACGGAGCTAATCCTGCACGGAGCAGAGTTAGTATGCTCATGGAAAACTCTCCCTGCGTGTGCCTTTGCATAACCATGTTCATTAGAACTGAATCAGGTAGAGGTGATTTCCCCTTTCTTAGTTATATGGGGTGAGCAGAGAATGTGAAATAAAGATATAATTGCTAGTAAATTGTCCAAGCAGTCACGATGGGAGTGGGTAAAGCAGAAGGCAGTGTGCTTAGGGTTAATGCAGCTGGATCAGCTGGGAGCCCACCGACTGCGCTGTGATCCGGGCTCCCTGCTATTGGCTGAGAGCAGGGGAGGGAGGCAGAGGAAGAAAATCCACCGCTTAATTTAGGCAGTGACGAATGGGTTGCTGTGCAGGATGTTTCACTCCTGGATGTCTGGGGTGATGCAGATGCTAAAAAGGGAAATGCATTTTCTCATCGCATCTTTACAAGCAAGGTGTCATGGCTGGCAGCTCAGCCCGGCCTACAGCTCTTAGTGAGCCTGCTGAAGGTGCTTGGGGGGTGGCAGTCTTCATCACATATAATATCATAGTGCCATATTTCTTTCACTGGTCCTGTCCCCCCACTTTTCCATGCTTTTGGGCTGGCTGCCTCCACATCACAGCCCTTTTGTGCAGGCATTGGCATTTACTTTTGTGGCTGGACACATCAAATATGACACTCTTCTGGGCTATTTTACTCCAGAGCTGTAGCTTGAATATGTTAGGATATAGCAGGCCTATCCATAGTATCTGAAGACACAACAGGTATGTTTAAGCATCTCTGGCAGAGAATTGTGTGAGAAGCTTTTGCTTGGCTAAAAAACAGTGCTGTCAGCTAATGCTGTTATGAGAGAGAGTGAATACAATTTTTATACACAATGTCTGAGCAAGTGGGCATTGATTGTAGAGGCTGCAGCTGCTGGCGTCACCGGCAGCCCAGGGAGGCTACATCGTGATTTGGGTAACTACATGACCAGTGTTCTCAGATAGTCTCTTTTTTTTTTTTTTTTTTTTTTTTTTTTTTTTTAAAAAAAAAAAAAAAAAAAAAAAAAAAAAAAAAAAAAAAAAAGTTCTAGGAAAAATATTAAACCC